CTAACTCGCACGCCTTGCGGGACACGGCTCTCAGTTCCCCACTAGCAGGCCTGCCAGCGGCGCCCCTAGGACGTCACCAAAACTGGGGAGGCAGAGGGGACCTGGGGACAACTTCTATGGGACCCCAGTGGGCAGATGGTGGGAGGGGGGTGGAGGGTCTGGAGGAAAGCAGGCGGGAGAGGACTCCTGCCCAGCAGGGTCTGTAGGTCTGTAGCCCGGCTGCTGCCAGGGAGGGGTAGGTCCCCTGATCCCCTGTGACTAAGGGCTGTCTCATGGGCCCTGGTTGGGTTTAGCCAGAGTTTCTTGTTTATTTTAACAAAGGGGAGCGGAGAGGTCCTGCCCTGCCATTCACGCTGGTGGTAAACAAGTTACAGGACAGGCAGCCAAGAACCAGGATCCTGGCCCAGAATCCTCCCGGAAACCTGGGGGTCCCTCCAGGCCCCTCGGCCTGCTCCTCAGTGTCCCTGTCCTCTGCTCTGGCCGGCCTGGGGACAGCTGGCTCCCTAATCTAGCTTCCGCCGTTATCCACGGACACCCTGCTGGCTCCATCTCTTAGGGGACCCAACCTGAGCACAGCTTCCTGCGAAACCCAACCTCTAGATTCCCCTTAGGAGACTAAGCATCCCAGTCTTGTCTCCACTGCTCTGAGCGCCCCCCAACCCCAACCCTCTCCCACCCCCCTCATCTTCTCTGTGACCCCGGACCCCGGCCCTGGGCAGCCAGCCCATAGGACGTGCCCTCGGCCAGGATGTGAGCACCTGAGTTCATTTCTTGGTAACCTGCTCAGTGACCCGGCCTGAGACGTGCAACCTCTTTGCCTCCATTTCTTACAGTGGTTCTCAACCTTCGTAATGCCGCGACCCTTTAATACAGTTCCTCATGTTGTGGTTCCCCCGAGCCATAAAATTATTTTCGTTGCTACTTCATAACTGTAATTTTGCTACTGTTATGAATCGTCATGTAAATGTCTGATATGCGGGATGTATTTTTTCATTGTTACAAATGGAACATAATTAAGGCATAGTGATTAATCACAAAAACAATATGTAATTATATATGTGTTTTCCGATGGTCTTAGGCGACCCCTATGAAAGGGTCGTTGGACCCCCAAAGGGGTCGCGACCCACAGGTTGAGAACCGCTGATCTAAGAGAAGCCGTGATACCTGCACTTTCCAGGCCGGTGTCTCCGAGGCCCCGTTCCTCCCGCCTTCCCACCTGCCAGGGACGCCTTTCCCTGGTTGTCTGGAGTCTGGCTCACTCCGATTCTGTGGGATGTCCTCTCCCCGAAGTCCTCTCTCCTGACCAGGCTTAGCAGCCCCCAGCCCAGGATTATATTCTTTATCACAAACCCTGCTCATTTCCTTCCTGGCACTTTTTCCATTTATAAATATAATCATCTATATTTGCACTTTCTCTGCACTGCAGGGGACCCTGCGTTCCATTCATCAATATATCCTCAGTGCCGAGCAGGGTCACTTTCCTTCCATGGAATGCATGCATTCATTCATTCATTCATTCACTCACTCACTCCTTCGGCGACATTTATTGAGAACCTATTAAACTGTCTTAAATGCTTGGGATACACCTGAGAACAAAAAGTCAGTGACGATTTGTGGCTGAGTGAATGAATGAATGCAGGAATGTAACAAGCCTCAAATGAAGTTATGGTTGTGAGAGGGATAAACAAGAGACTGTATTCACCGTACCTGAGGACAGCACTTGACAGTTTACAAAGTAAATTTGCACACCCATTTCCTTATTCTTTCACTCATTCAGTAAGCATGTATTGAGCACCTCCTATACACCGGGCACAGTGCAGATAGCGTCTGCCTCTAAATTATTAATAACTCTGTATGTAAACTATATGCACTGCCTTCTCACTAGGGGCCAGTGGAAGGAATCGTTGCAAATGCCCGTAGGACTCCTAGACGGGGAGACAGATCTGGGGCCACTGGTGGTGGGGCAGGCTGTGTACTGCACGACCCAGGGCTGTGTGGCTGGTATGTTCC